CGAGTCCATGTTTTCCAACTACTGAATCTTCTTTGTTCCCAACTTTTGCATTCCAGTCACCCATTATTATCAATTCATCTTGATTGCATGTTCGATCAATCTCCGATTGTAAAAGTTTGTAAACCCATACTGAAAGCAATAATCCCTGACTTTATCATTAAGGGCTTCAAATATTTTCTGCTTAAGCAAGATTTTATCATCTACATGTCACACATTATTTGTTAGACTTTCTCTAATAGACTTCTATCTATTGTACATCTTCCTTCACTTAGTCGAGTTCAGCACACAGATTGAATAGGTAAAGCGTACAGCATTGACAAACACCTTGCCTGACTTTAAACTAGGCTGTATCCTATAGTTTTATTTGAGTAACTGTTTCCTTCTCCATGTACAGATTCAGAAGGTATTTTCCCTTTGTTTTGGCTTCTTAATGCTCTAGTGAAATTTTTAGTCTCTTTTGACATCCATTTCTTTTTTACCTTTTACTCTGTCTTTATAATAAGTGTTTGCTATCTTCATGGATGATATTCTTGATATTATCCCACAATTCTACTGGTTTTTGATTATTGGTGTTCAATTCTTCAGTCTGTCCCGGACCTAGTTTTGACTGCCATTATTGAGATTCTCTGATAATTCCTTCCTCAGATGTAGTCAATCTGATTCTTATGCAGCCTATCAGGCATGGTCCATGGGTAAACTTGCCATGTGTTTCCTTTAAAAAAAAATATTTTGATGAATAATTTAAAATACAGAATTAAATCATTCAGTGTTCAATCTCTATCATCAAGCCCATATTTTCCAAATACTATTCCTTGTATGTCCCATAATATCTTTCAATATTGCAACTCGAGGCGTAAATCTGTTTTTCAGTTTTCTCAACTTGAAAAATACAGAGCAGTTTCTTCCTTTTTCATTCTCCAATTCCAGCTCTCCACATTCCAATATAATTCTTTGTCTTTTCAAGTTATACTTTGAAATATATTCAGTTCTTTTACTTTGGCATGTTTTTCTTTTGTTTTGGCTTCTTGACACTCTAGTGCAAATTTTTTTTTCCTGTTGGTGTGTCATAAATATTTAACCTCAGTTGGTGTTGAATGAATTCTGTCAAATCTTTCTTTTTGTAATGCCTCTAGGTGGATTAAACTGTCAATCTTTTAGGCTACAGCTAAATATTTAACTATTTGTCCTACTCAGGGATTTATAACCCTTAGAGATTAATTGCTTGAGTCCCATGAGAGTAGGTTTTTTTTTTTTATTTCTTCTTGAGCTCCCACAGAGATTCATGTTTGTTTCAGAAAACTTTAAAAAGACATGCCCTAGGGATGCACAAAGGAAAAAAAAAATCCATAAAACCAATAATATTTTCTATCATTGATCTCAAGAAAAGGAGACACTATGTGGTACAGGTTTGTTGCTTAGATAGCAGCTTAGTTGTTTGGAAATATAAATTAATGGTTTTTTTTAAACCTAGAGGCTTTTCTTAATTTTTTTTCTCATAGAACTAATTCAACACAGTCATATGTGTGGGAGGGTGAAAGCATAAAGCAGCAGCAATAGTACTGCATAAAGATTTTCTTATAACTCCTTTTTTTAGTGCTCAATTATATAACGCTTTAAGAAAATCCATGACATGATAAGTCTTCTGTGAAAATATCTATCTTTAAATATTAATAGACAATCTAGAAGGGAAAATTGGAACAATTGAATCTGTAGAACAAATATTCTGTCCCTGTTCTTCACATAAGTGCAGAAAACAATGCAAATGAAATAATAAGGATTCTTATTTACCCTTTCCTTTCCTCTTGCCCCACTCAAACCACCTCCATCCATCTAAATGCATGGAGATTCTCCTGACTGTCTTCTTGACACTCAGAAATCAGTAATAGCCTTACTGGACTGATCATACAGATGTGAAGTAGAAAAGGTAATTACTTGATCTTGAGGAAAGCTTTTTGAAATATTTTTCTGAGATAGATTTTCTCTACACTTGTATTATCACATTTGCAGTAGATAACCTTTTGTTCTACATTGTAAGATATTCCGCAGAATCTCTGGAATCTACCTACTTTATTGAGTTTACAGTTATGGGAATTAAATATGTATCTAGATCATGCCAACTCTCCATTAATATAAAAATCACTCCAGATTCAGAATCAATATTCATTTGGGTAATCACCCACTTGTTGGTGTTCTGTTTTGTTTCTTTCTCATTGAGGGTCTTCCCCCTCCTATACTGTCCCTCCACCCTCCCAAGCATGCTGTTCTCTCCAAGGGCTGGTCCCTCCTTGCAATATGTCCAAAGTACGTCGGATGGAGTTTCAGAATCTTTGCCTCCAAGTAGCAGCCTGGTTTCACCCTCTCTAGGTTTAACCTGTTTGTTCTCCATAGTATATGGTATATTAAAATCATAAATATTATAAGATATTATATAAGAGAAAGAGGGTGATATATTAGTATTTTGGGGTGATCATTTTATTTTTTCTCTCCTTCCCTATCTCTTAAAAGAGGAATAGAGTTCTTAGATGTTGTTGTTGTTACATGGCATTGAGTCACTTGTGACTTAAAGCCACCCTACACACAATAGTTCTGAACGCTATTCTATTCTGAACCAATCTCACTGTCTCTGAGAACTCTAACTCTATTAAAAAAATTAATCTGTCAATCTATCTCCTCCATGGTCATCCTTTCTTTCTGGATAGTCTTGGGGAAATACGGTTTTTCTAGAAACTAACACATCAATATTTTCTTTGTTCTTCAACTAATTTCAATGAGAATATATATTAATAAAACGCCGAGGGAAAAAATATGATTCTGAGATGACTCCTTCCTAATGAAAAAGAAAAAAATGGGTTCTTTATCTTGCTCTGTCTTCAAAGTAATACATAATTTTCATAACCTTTTTATAATTCCAAATTAAAGGTTTTTGTTACTTTTTTGTTTGTTTTTTAGAGCAGGGTTCAGAGCTGTTGTACATAGGGTCACTGAGAGTCACAGATGACTTGATGGCACATAACAACAACAACAGTAACAATAAATGTTTGTACATTCTTCCTTCAAAATTCAAAATGGAGATGAAATTATGTTTCAAGGATGTGGTGAAGATTAGCTATATTGCTTGATTTATATATATGCATATATATAACATCCTCCTGTCCAATCTAGCTATATTTTAGCATTTCATCACAGTCATTTTTCATGTCCTCTAATATTATTTAAACTTATGATTTTTATCAACTGCATTGTATATACACAATAATTTTGCCATTCCCCTCTGGTTTTATAGTTAAGATATTTATCAATTTTAATATCATAAATAATGCTGCAAAGCATAAGTCTTTTTATTTTTTTTTCTATATTTTATTAATTTTCATAAACATTTACAGAGATTTTGGGTTTCCATTCATTCATTGTTGCACTATTCTCTCTACCCTCCTCCCAGTTTGTTCTTGTCCAAATTGCCACAGTGCTTGTCAAAGCCAGTTCTGATTAATCTTCTTTGTCAGTGTGTCTTTTGCCATTCCCTATCACTCCTCCCTGAGAGAGACTTCACCCTGAGTCACAAGGAAAAGGGGATGGCGTATTCTCTTAGCTACTTCCTGCTGAAAAGGGACGCTGTGGGTTTCAGGGTGAAGATCTTCTCTTTTTAAATCATTCTTTCCAATACATGTTTTTGTCCAGTGCTCCCAAGAAATTAAAAACAAATTCACTGTTAAATAGGTCTTGATAGGTAAATAATCATAGGAAAATAGTATTTGAGAATAACTAAACCATGACCGAGATCAAAGTATGTAATTAACCAAAATTGTAATGCTGATTTTATAGATAAGTTATAACCCCAATCTAAATTTATTTATTAAATAAGTTGCAAGTTAGTAGTCTTAAATACATCCTTCTCACTTACATCCTACCCCTTCAAGAGAAAATTTAGATAAGTGTGATATGCATTTTTAAAAATTCTTTATGATATTAGTATCTTTAATATTGGTTGTAAATTTTCCCAGGAAAAAAGATATTTTCATTTTATGGATCACTAAGGCTAAAGTCAGCTGTGAGGGACCTCTCAAGAGTACTGAAGAGCAATGAAGTCAGACTGAAAACTAAGGTGTGCCTGGCCCAGGCTATAGTCTTTGCCATTACGTGTTATGCATCAGAGAGTTGGACAGTGACTAGAAATGATAGAAAGAGAATTGATGCCTCTGAGCTGTGGTGCTGGAGAATAGTGTTGAATCTATCATGGACCTCTAGGAGAACCAACAAGTTTGTCCTGGAGAGGGTGAAGCCAGAGTACCCCTAGGAGTCAAGGATTCTGAAACTTCATCTGACATCCTTCGGCATGGCATGTTGCAAGGAGGAACTGGTCCTCGGAAAGGGACATCATGCTTGGGAGAGTGGAGAGACGGCACAGGAGAGGAAGACCCTTGATGAGATGGATCGACTCTGAGTGGAATTGTGGGAATGAGTGTGTTTGAGACAGCAAGGTTGTCACAGGATAGAGCAGTGTTTAAGGCTCTTGTTCATACCGTAGCTGTGAGTCTCAAGTGACTCAATGGCACATAACAACGACAATAACAACAACAACAACAAGGCTAATCAAGTTATTATTTAACTTCTTTCTAATAATTCCATTCCACACACTAAAATATGGACTATGACTTTAAAGAATCATGAAAGTTTCTGTATATATTGTGTTCCTGTATAATATGTGAACCAAATTGTAAGCCTTATGCATCTGTATTTTAAGATTTCTGAATTCTTCTGAATTGTCAGAAGAGTAGGATTCCATTTCATTCCTGCAAAAATTAAAATCTTTCTTCTTTTCAGGTCTCCTTTTACAAGAGATTCAGATCTGAAGTTTGAGTCCCATGCTGGAGAGTGACTTTTAGCTTATGTAGCTGTTTTCTCCAACAACACAGAAAATTTGAACATGGAACAGGAAAACTGTACCAAGGTGGCAGAGTTCATTCTCCTTGGATTATCAGACACTCCAGAGCTGAAAGTCTTCCTCTTCCTGCTCTTTCTTCTGATCTATGGAGTCACTGTATTGGGCAACACAGGCATGATTGTGGTGATTCAAGCCAACTCTCAGCTTCACACCCCCATGTACTTTTTCCTCAGCCACTTGTCCTTTGTGGACTTATGTTATTCTACTGTCATTGTGCCTAAGATGCTGGACAATATCTTAAACAAGGACAAAGCCATTTCCTTTCTGGGATGCACCGTGCAGTTCTATTTGTTTTGCACGTGCGTTGTCACTGAAGTGATCTTGCTGGCTGTGATGGCCTATGACCGCTTCGTGGCCATCTGTAACCCTTTACTGTATATGGTAATCATGTCCCAAAAGCTCTGTGTCCAGCTAGTGTCTGGTTGCTACCTGTGTGGAACAGTGTGTTCTCTGATCCATTTGTGTTTAGCTCTTGAGATTTCATCCTATCAGTCCAATGTGATCAACCACTTCTTCTGCGACCTACCACCTCTCTTATCTCTTGCCTGCTCTGATGTTTCTGTGAATGAACTGCTACTCTACATAGTGGCCACATTCAATGAGGTCAGCACCATTGTGGTCATCCTCACCTCCTACCTGTTTATTCTCATCACCATCCTGAGGATGCGGTCTGCTGAGGGTAGACGCAAAGCCTTCTCCACATGTGCCTCTCATCTCACAGCCATTGTCGTCTTCCATGGAACAATCCTTTTTATTTATTGTCGGCCCAGCTCAGGCAACAGCACAGACACAGATAAGGTAGCCACAGTGTTCTACACTGTAGTGATTCCCATGCTGAACCCTCTGATCTATAGCCTGAGGAACAAGGATGTAAAAGAAGCTCTTAGGAAGATGTTAGGCCCCAAAATAATTTCCTAGAGAATATCTTGTCAGCAGGGCTTATGTTTTCAAAGTGGAAAGAAGTAGAGGAGTGAGTAGATAGACCCCAGTTTTAGAATGGAGAAAGCAATAAAATACTAGGTGCTGGTAAATAATTGATTTGATTCCTTTCATTATGTGCCTTGCCAATAAAAGAGTAAGAGTAATTATATTTTAAACAATTTAGTGCATTTGTTCACTTTTCTTCTGTATATAATGTTCTAGGTAGATACAGGATTGGCATTGCTAAAAAAGTTTGCTATTAAAAAACTTTAAAAACATGCTTGAGCATGTAAGGCAGTCGAAGGCTGAATTTCTGTTTTACTCTTGTTGTTAGGTACAATGAAGAACACACCTTTGTCAAACAGTTTGTGCACACAATGAGAATTCCACTTATGCACACATATTCTCTCATCTTAAAATGAAAGTTCTATTAGTAATTATTTCACAAAATCCTTAGGAAAATGACATATAAAAAATAGTAAAGTGTTTGTTTTTCTGTTGTGGCTTGTATCTTACTGTGAAGCTGTAAACTATACCAGCAATATTTAAAACAGCAGTAGAGTCATACTTTCTAGGCAGGTTTTATTTGCTCTTCCACCAGGACTGATTAGAAAACACGACCTGACAATTTACTTCCTTATAAAATCTAGCGAAAATGTTATGAATCTCAACAGAATGCTGTCAGACTTGTTCACTGTGTACACAAGGTCAAGCTGGATCAGATGCCATTGAGGCAGTTGAACAGCATATGTGTACAAAAATATGACCTAAGCTAATACCACAGACAGAGAAGGGAAAGGAATGACTGGATGACTTAGGGGAAACTACATGATAAAACAGAAGTGAAGACAAGAGCCTGTTGTGAACAACAGATAATTGTTCTGTGTATCTGAGTCATCTGGTAGACTAATTGGTAGGGAACTGCAATTATTTCAAAGATTCAGCCTTTGATTTTATTTGAATTTGTCTGCTGATACTTGGACAAAAGAAACTCACTGGACAATCAGCTCTGAGTCAGGTCTGGACTGATGAGAATGAATGATTGATATGAGTGACATCTAAGAAGTTATCCATAACTTCAGAAATCCTACTAACACTATTTCTGCCAGATATGGAAACACTGAGATAAGACAGATTCAACATTTGTAGCCCTTGTTAGTTGTCATTAGGTGCTGTTGAGTCAAGTAAGCCATATAAAGCTTTATAGAAAGAATAAACTTCTTTCTCCATGAAAATCTACAAAGACACACCTAGAATGATCCCATACAAGTGACTAGAAATCCCCCAAATGAATGACTAGAATTTTTTCCAAATATACTCCCTTTGATGAACATATTCCCTTATGTCTGCATCTAAGAAATTTTCTAGGTATCTTACTTGGGAAGAATATCCATATTTCTATCAAAGCCTGAAAACAAATTCAGTTCTGAAAGAGCAACTTTTGCCAAAAGAAGAAACCCAGAAAGTAAGAAAATAGGAAAGGTAGGAAGAGGAAGGAAAGATAAAAAGATTTAGAGAAAGAAATAACACCTCCTAACTACATGTCCAAAGTACATGAGATGAAGTTTCACAATCCCTATCTCCATGGAACACTCTTTTGCATTTTCTTCAATGTTTGTTTGTTCTTTTGGCAATCTATGGCATATTTCAATATTAGTTATCTTTCCCCCCCAAAAAAAAACCACATATTTTTTTCCTCTGGTTTCAATTCATTCATTGTTACATATTTTCCTCCCTGCCATCTTGGAGTTTGCAGTTCACTTTTTTCTTTGTAAAAAAAGTTCTTTGATTTTTTTACATTCCCCCCTCCCCAGACCACTTTACATTTATCATGATTCTTGTCATGCCTCGTCTGTTTCAATGCCATGGCAGAATTCTTTTTCAACATCACAACTTAAAGGTATCAATCTATGTTACTTAAGAAGTTAATAGATAATTCTGCTTCTTATTCTGTCTTTATCTGGGAGCTCTACTAAAACCTATCTACCATGGGTAAGTCTTGTAGCATTTGACACACCAGTGTCATAGTTTCTAGTATGACAGCAGCCCAAAAGTTATTTCAGTACAGCAAACTGACAGACAAGTGCTGTATCAATTAGAACAATGTTCTTCACAAACACAACAAACTGACAATTTAGTTTGTAACTTCTAATAGTAAATAATAGCCCTTGGGCCTAACCAACTTTTAACTACAAAGATTTATCCACTGAGTCAGAAAATCAGAAGATGTAATGCATTAGGAAATCTGAAGAGTAATGACATCAGTTTGAGAACTAAGGTGCATCTGATTCAGGATGGCTTTTCCAATCAATTGCTATACATCAGAGACTTAAGATCAAATTTTGGTTTCCGTGGACTTGGACTTGATTTCATTTTCCTCAGCTTCAGCTAGAACTCGCATATGAGTAATCAGAGAGGTGGACAGTGAATAGAGATGATAGAAAGAGAATTTATGCCTTTGAGCTATGGTGCTAGAGCAGAATATTGAATATATACCATGGACTGCTAGGATAACAAAGAGGTTTGTCCTGGAGAAGGTGAAGCCGGAATGCTCATTGGAGACAAGGATTCTGAAGCTTCATCTGACATACTTTGGGCATGTTGCAAGGAGGGACTGCACAGGATAGAATGGCATTTAGAGCTCTTGTACATAGGGTCGCTATGAGTCGCAAGTGACTCGATGGCACATAACAACAACAACAAGATCCAGGGAAGGAACTGGAGCGTGTCTTGACCCATCCCTTTCCCCACTCCACCAAGATCTCCTTCCATGCCTGCAGGCCCCATTCAACACCTCTCTTACTATGCAACCCTTAATATGATGGCTTAGGTCTAAATCCACTTCTGTAATGCCTAACGCCTCACACTGCTGCTGGTTTCTCATACTACAACTGGTCTCTCTTGGGTTTAGGGGTCTCTGAGTGCAAATTCCAGGCACTAGGAAGAATCTCTTTTCTCAGTCAGTTCTGAGGAAAAATTCTTTGTCCCAGAGCTCTTGATCCAGGACTGATTTCTTGTGATTTAGACTGGGCCAATTGACAGCACCATGTGGACGGAGAAGAGATTGAAGTTGTTAACCATTTCAGCTTACTTGGCTCCACAGTCAACACTCTTGGCACCAGCAGTCAGAAAATCAAAAGACAAATTGCATTGAGGAAGTCTGCTGTCAGAGACTTTTCCAGAGTTTTAAGGAGCAATGATGTCAGTCAAGAGACTAAGGTGCACCTGATGCAGGCCATGGTCTTTGCAATCACTTGCTATGATAGATCACTTCCATCAGAGAGCTGGACAATGGCTAAAGATGGCAGAAGAATTGATGCCTTTGAACTGTGGTCAGGAAGAGTATTAGACATACCATGGACCACCAGGAGAACAAATAAGTCTATCCTAGAAAGAGTGAAACCAATTTTCTCTTTGGAGGAAAAAAAAATTGAAGTCTGTCTCACATTCTTTGGGCATAAGTCCAGGAGGGACCAGACCTTAGAGAAAGACATCATGCTTGGAAAGGTGAACTAGAACTAACACTCAGTAGAGGAAGACTCGGGATGAGATATATTGATATAATAACTGGGGCAATGAGATTAAGTGTGTCAGTCAGTGAGACTGTCTTGGGATATGGCAGAGTTTAGAGCTACTGTACATAGGAGTACTTCTAAGGATCTCTTTAGTTGTACTCTAAGCCATATTTGGGTTTGTGGTTTTTTTTTTAGGTTGTTTTGTTTTGTTTTCAGTTTACGGGAATTTCACTAATGAAGTGTATGGTGTGCTCCAATCCCATGCCTCCCATAGAATATTTTACCCTACAAAATTTTAGGACTGCATCCTTCGATATTGATTGAACCTCAACATCAAGAAAACTAATATTCTCGCCACTGGGATGACGGACAGCATCATGATAGAGCGTGAAGAGATTGAAATTGTTAACACATTAGTTTGCTTGGCTTCTCAGTACCAGCAACCAAGGAATTAAAAGACAAATTACATTGGAAAGGTCTATTGTCAGGGAGCTCTCCAGTGTGCTGAAGAGTAACGATGTCAGTCTAGAGACCAACGTACAAGACTTGTCCAGGCCATGGTTTTCACAATTACTTGCTATGCATCAGAAATCTGGACAACGACTAGGGATGACAGAAGGAGAATTGATACCATTGAGCTGTGGTGTTGGAGAAGAGTGTTGAACACACCATGGGTTGCTAGAACAAACAAATTCATCCTAGAGAGGGTGAGACCGGGCTGCTCTTTTGAGGCAAGGATCCTGAAGCCCCATCGGACATATTTCAGACATGTTGCAAGGAGGGACCAGTCCTTGGAGAGGGACATTATGCTTGGGAGGGTGGAACGACAGTGCAAGAAAGGAAGACCCTCAATGTGATGGATTGATTCTGTGCCTGGCGTAATGAGGGTAGGTGTGTCAGAGACAATAAGGTTTGCTCAGGCTAGATCAAGGTCAGAGCTACTGTCACAAGTGACGTGATGGCACGTAACAACAAATAACAAATTTTTAGGAGAGTAGACAACTTATCTTTTTTTTTCCTTTTAAAGACTGCCTGGTGGTTGCCAATTGATTATTTTTAATTGATCAGCACATTCACACTAGGTCCTCAGGCCACACTAGAGTCACGATTGCTATTGTTATGTGTCTGCTAACGAGGCAGCACTGACTTAGCTCTGACCGGCCAGTGAGTTTTCACAGGTTGTAAATCACACAGAATATTGTCCATCTTTCTCCTGCATAGCATGTCTTTGGAAGGTAGCTATGGAAATGGGGAAATAATAACAAAAAAAATGGAAGTCTAGCTCTCCATGTCCTGCCAGAAGTTAGTCTGGAATACCTTGTGAAATGAATAGCGTAAGGAAATATTTGCATTATTTCAGAATTGTCACTTCTGTGACTCACACATGCAATCATGAGGTTATTGTTTTCATACTGCAACATGAAGTTGAAGAAGTGACAGTTTTGTTTTTTCAGAATTGTTTCACAAATTATGGTATTTTGT